GAAAATTTTCACAGTATTTTATACATATTCTATTTTAGTCTAGATTTTTGCCAAGTGTCTTAACTCCACCAGTGCTTCTGAATTTCCAGACATCTTGGTTTCTTTGTCAATAATCAAAACTTCTCAAAATAAGAGCTTATCCGTTTACATGTCAATCCATTATTAGACTACATTAACACAATCCACATGATGTTACAGCTGGAAGTTTGACAGATTTTTTCTGGTATTGCAGGAAGCACTTAGAGACCTCTAAAAAAGACAGGATTTTTAGACACATAATCCCTATGCGCTGTATCTGGTGCTTTTTTCCCTCGGCACCAGGAACTATTTTTGTTGTTAACTGTTTTTCTCCAAAGCCTTGAATAGCCTGAAAATTGCCTTTCTGTACAATGTCCTCTCTTCATACGCCACATCACAGCTGCTGCATTCAGTTGGAAGGCTGCTGTTGTCTTTTCCTATCTCTGAATTGCAAAGCTGAACGGCAGTAGGGCATGCGCCGAAAGAACAGAACTAATTAGGGAATTATTTTTACATTCCTGGAAGAGCCTGAGATTGCAAAATTCACAATTTGCCAATACAAACTGAGGGTAAATGTGATATTTGAAAGGACAAAAGTAGCTATGAAAAGAATTCCATTTTCATTATCTGTCTCTATATATCTGCATGCAGGTAGCACTTTTAAAAAATACATAGAAAATGCTACCAATTCTTTAAATATATAGCATATCCAATCTTACAAACAAGATTTTTAAAAGCATACTGTATATTCAGTGATTGGAGGCAGGACCTAGATAACATAATGTTTCCTCAAAATCATACTATTTAAATTCAGTCAAATCTTTGTCAAAATACGAAGTCCTTATTGAAACCCACAAAAACCATCACTGAAATTCAAAAAAACCTCATATTAGTGGACTTACTTTTAGGGAGCTGGCAAACATAGTATAGAAGTTTAATAGAAAGCCACTAGGTAGGTACAGCTATTGGTTCCTTTTCCACACAGTAGCTGATGCACAGAAGGACTAAGCAATGATCTTAAATCAAATTTCTCTCAAGGCAAGTTTAGTTGACCGAGCCAAGAACAGAATGCTGGAGATTCTGATTTCCAGGGCACGCTAGGACCATATTGCTTCTTTAATCACAAGAACTATTCTGTGTTTCCTCCTAAAATAAGTGCAAAATAAACAGTGCCCACAATCTTTTCCTACAGCTTTTGGAACATCTTGCAAGTTGACAACATAAAAAACCAGAAATATTTCAGGCACTTTGATTAAATTAGAAACAAACAAAAAGTAGATCACTTGCGCAGACTTTTCCAGTATTTACCTATGTGAATGTGTTTGGATAGGGTAGTAATAAAAGAATGCCAGAAACATCACCTGGATGCAAGCACTGTCAAGTACTTGCATCAAACTTTTTCCTGCCCCCTTTTTTTTAGCTACTTATCATTGCTGCTCTTAAATATACAGGTGTGCAAAACCCTTGTATCTTGGGGAGGGGGGCATTTGGGTGAGTGTGAGGGGGTGGGGAGGAAACAAGCCTTTATCACTTCTCATGCAATTTTGAAAACTTAGAAGACCAAATCTTCATTGCATTTTTTCTACACCTCATTTCCTCTTTGCTGCATACATCAAGTCTCTTTCCTTTACTTATGTCTTTGTTATTATACTTCTTCTGGAAGACTTAATGCTTCTCTTCCCACATCAAGTTTGAAACATTTGTAGAAAGTACTGGGAGGTTCTGTAGTTCCATTTAGAGAATCTAGACATTAATTCACTAACTCCCTAGGGAAGAATGTGGCTTTTTTCTTCTCAGTAAAATTTACCCCTCCTTTTTAATTTTATTACCTGAAAGAGATAAGTAATACAAATTAGACAGATCTTTTTGAATAATTTCAGGAACATTTGAATGATAGTTAAATCCTATGTAATTTGGATATATGGAGGAGAAAGAAGCAGCAGGTGAGCTAGAGTAGAACACACATCACTGAAGGCCTCAGGAAACTGGAAATTTGTGTTATTTGCTTGATGTGTTCTACTTCCCATCTAAACCAATATCTCTAGTTTAATCATTGCTCTACCTCTAAGATTAATTATCATTTTTCAATATGCCATTTCTTTTTTCCTTTTTGAGAAGCCTCTATCACAGATGCCCCAAATAATATTTATACAAGACTCTAGAAACTATTCACTCAGTGACTCACAAAACTCCTGTCCATCTTCTATGCTCTTTCGTAGTCAAAGTACTTCCCTAAAAACTCAGACAAAATCACAGCCAGGTGTGGCAGGATAGTGGAGATACATATCAAAAGTACTCCTTAAATATTTATGATCTTATAAATGTCAGTCACTCAGATTACATCTTTACTTTTGTAAGTAAAATTGTATACTTCTATACTTTTTTACATTAAAAAAAGTTTATACTTTTTTTTATATATACTTTTATACTTTTCCCTGTGTGTTTATCTATTCTCTAAGGATATGCCAAGATATTAAAGAAAAATCATAATCTTTTTCATTCTTCATATAGTGTACAGACCCCAACCGGACTGAAGCTTCATTTAGCGCCAGACATTTGCAATGTGACCGAAAGAAGCTACACAGTAAATGTCTGCAGCCAGCCCTGCGGCGCCCAAGAAAAGACATTATTCTGGTTTGCTCTCAAGGGTTTCCTTGGGCTGAGTTCAAGAGGAGCTAATGGCAGACTGTTTGCAACTGCTAACGAAGTGCAGTAACAGTTACTACCGTGGCAGGACAGCAAAGCACACATAAATTCAGCACACAGACATTCAACCTTATGAAAGAGTACAATGTATAAATAAGGCAAATAGTAACAAATTCTGAAAGGAACAGTCAAATGACCAAAAAACATACAAACTGCCTAGAAGCTGTTAAAAAACGCTGTATTAGAAGCCCCTAAAACATTGAATGACTAAGGCGGCTACACAGGGAAAAACTCAGAATTTAGAAAAACCTGCGCAAGGGAGAAGAACAGGAAAGGACATTAAAAAAAAAACCCCACAAACCATAAACAGTGAAGAGTGAGGGAATTTGACAGTGTAAGGACTTGTAGAGGTATCCAGTATCAAAAAAGGATTTAGAAAAATTAATGGACAGCACGTTCATAAACATACTCTAGAGGGAATAGACAGATTCATCTTCCAACATCCCAAACCCAGCAACTGCAGATGCTGTGGGAGGTAAGGCAGGCTTACGCACCCTGCCCTAATAGCGTTTGCTATTGCCATTGTCACAGACAAGACACTGAGACTGATGGACCACTGAGCATTTCTCATGTTCTTGTAATCCAAAAGATGGGAGGAGTCACACTACCATGCCGCACCCAGAGTGCCATCCACCAGATTATGGTGACCCCTGGGGTTTGCCACTGGCCTGAATTTATTTCTGATGTACCTTCACTGATTTCAGGTACACCAGAATTTCACCTGACTTCTCCCCCCCCCCCCCCCTTTTTTTTTTTTTAGAGGAAGAGAGAAACACAAATGTAAAATGTGTGTGAATTGGTACATCTGTGGGTATCCAAGTCAACATATCTATGTTTTGAATCGAAACAATGTTGAGCATTCTAAATTGCCCATTCATTTTAGGTAGTGATGGAGATGGTTAATCACTCTGCAGACTGACACACAACGGGAAACATAAAATGCATGTTATACGTATGTTGTATACAAATCAGATGTTTCTCTGAAAGGCTCCGTGATAGGCCTAAAATGCTTGCAACATCAGTACATCCAGGTTACACAGTCAGCGCTTGCAACTTCACTAAATACACTAAATATTACAGAAGTCTACTGACCTACGTAAGAAAATCATTAGCAGCCAGATGGTTTGAATGTTGACTAATGAAGTATTTATTTGTGTGCAATAAGAGACAGGATTTTTTGCAGCTGGTCAATAGGATTGGACTGATATGATTTATTAGAATTAACAGGTGCAATTGCAAAGCATCCAATGATCACAGGTGGGAAAAGAAAGCAAGGCGGTTGTGACTGTAGATGAAGACAACTGAGAATATGGCTTAAATAACACGAGCAACTGAAATAGACAATATTTCCTTTGCAAGTTAAAAAGTAATGTGTACTTTTTTAAGATTGACTGTATATATACACTCTCACAGACCAAACACATCAAAGATCACTGTTTAAACAAGTGCTTTAAGGAGATCAAGTTTTCATACACATCAAGCTCAGAATAGTTTAGAAGAGCAAAATGTAAGAATTGAACCGAACAGATAAAGACAAGAAGCCTGGTTGTTAAGAGAACAAGAGATCATCTGAATAAAATATTTTCAAGTGCAAAGTTCTTTGCAAAATGAAGCAATAAAAAGGGAAAGTATATCCTGATTTAGACAAATTGTCAAACTGTCAAATTTAGACAAAGGAGGAAAAAAATAAGATGCTACTCAAATGTCTTAAGTTTCCATTCCAAGATCAAATTTAAAAATAAATTCAGTTTAATACTAACAAAAATTAAATAAAACATGCTTTATGTTTTATTTGGGATTTTGGGATCAATTTGGGATTAATATTCATGACATATAAAGCTTAAGAAAACATTTTTGAAATGTGGTTTGTTTAAAATTTTATTAAGAATCTCAATTCTGAGATTGTATTTCCTTTCTCCTCCTCTTGCTGTTTATTTTTAAAGCAGGTAATAACACTGTGGATGAAGTTTCATTGCTTATTAATAATCTATAAAACTGAATTAAGTATTCCTTTCTGAAAAAGCACTGCTCATAAGTACAGCAAAAGTTACAGTGATGTACTACGAACCTATGCACCAGTAGCAAGAAGTCAACAGTTGCATTCAATAAAATACTATTTCTAAATTCACACCGTCATTTTTGTTTGCTTTTGTATTTAGAGTATTTCGCTGAAGGTTTATCCTTCTACTACAACATGTGTTTTCAATATGAAGCCAAACCATAATCTCTTGCAGTGTAAACTCTGAACAGAGATGACAATCAAATGTTCCTCTTACCTCGTTTTGGAGGTCACGGATCATTTTGCTTTTCCTTTCCATTTCAGTCTTCAGAAAGTTAATCTAGAAGTTTAAAGAAATCTTGAGTGTGAGTTGTTGAAATGTACCTGAACATCAGTTTAAGCATTAATTATTTTTTACTCTACTCACAGCTTTAAAAAAACCAACCAACCAAACACCACCACCTGACATCTGTTTCTAGCAATAAGTTATCTTAAAAAACTTCTGCTTGTATACCAATTTGGTATAGGCCACAGTTAGCTATTTGCTAAATCTACAAACATTTAGCATGATATTTACTAGAAAACTTATAATCAAGAGAGGAAAACCACTGTACATAAATAGGCTTACTTTACTTTTGCACCAGTAGATAGTGTTTATTTTTCACAATGTAATCCCATATGATCTTCAAAGAACTAATGATTTTTACAACAATATTAGCTGATTTTATGATCTAGAAATTTTTAACCCTCTAAGAACACCACATCTACCATAGTAGGTTTCTAACACAGTGATTTGATTTGAATGCTACAGTACTGGTCCTAATGAGATAAACCCCTTGCTTCTAGTCAGTCACCTGTGGAATAAACTGTATTATAAATCTGGTCTTTAGTTTCTATTTAATTCAATGACTTGCCTTGGAAAGTAGATATTCCAATCTTAGTTTTAAGACAGAATTTAATCAAACACAGTTTAAAATATTGTTTTTACAAATCAGTGTAAGTTTCTTTCAGGATTGAGCTTTCCTCCTGGCTTATGGAACATAATGGGAGAAAGGAGGATATAACAACTAGGATTAAAGGAACACATTCCTTTCACTTTGAAGGAGGATGCTCTTGGATACCTTAATTAGCAAAATACTCATCCCTATATACCCAATGCCCCACGCCGCGTTCCCTCCCCCACTGATACAAAAGCCCGCCTATGTTCATGGGAAACTACAGTTCATCTGACATTGCACCAGACTTGTTAAGAAAAACAAAACCTCTGTAAGAAAATAGATTTAGATTATAGAGACATTGACCTAGAGAGTAATGGCTTGGATGTCATGCAGATAAAAAATGGCAGTGAATCTGCATGATATGACAGCTGTTCTTAGAATCATGTTCACACTCAAGTAGACAGATGTCAGTAATTTGAAAACCATCACCGGACTTGACATCACTCTCATCTGTATCAAAAGAGAAGTCAGAGAACACTATCATCACTTATGAGAGAAAAGTAGGTAGGGGGTCCATGAGACTATTGCCAACTGACATGCATAGGCATTATTTCTTTTGCAAACTCTTCCAAAATTTTGTCTAAGTGGTTTTGTTGTGGAAATACTAACTACACATACACTAACTACACCGAGGATGATGTTTTAACAGAAGATTAATATATTCAGCACTTGCCTAGCAATCACATCCACAAATAGTGACATTTAGTCCATGTATATTTTATAATAAATATGAAGATTTTACACAACAATAAATAAAAGTTACATTCAAAATATGGGATCAGGATTAGCTGGGGAAAAAAATAAAGTAACTATTCACATGATGGGTTTTGATTTTTCAGCTGTTCAAAAGATTTGCCAGCTACCATTAAATACTGATAAAAATATACTGTCCTCTGTTAAAGAATGTTCCATTTCTTAGTCCTAACTCTCAAGAGAATATGAACATTCCTTCAAAGCACTTCACTTCTAAATCTGAACATATATGAAATAATTAAAGAGATATGATACCAAAAATATTGTTTGTGTGCTCTCTATACATAGCCTGTAAGTATCAGCTTGGATCTTCTAGCAGAGAGACATTTAAGACACCACAGTACTGTTAATTTAACCAGCAATCTCTGTTAGTTAAACCAGTAATTTCTGTTAATTACTATTCACATACACGTGCATCTGATATCACTGATATGGACATCATAGATAGTGCAAACTTACTGTTTTAGCTTATCTGAATAATTAAAAAAAAATGAAGTCCCTTTCTTTTTTAAAAATAATACCAGTATTAATTTAAAAGTTATTCATTTTTCTTTCATATTATAACAGCATTTTTAAAGCACTTCTACTAAATCTCTAACAGCTGAAGAGCTACTTAGTCATAAAGTATAGCTATAGAGAGCTACCTAGGAGGGATTTATATGGCTTGGCTACTGGAGATAATATAGAGATAGCAATTTAAGTGCATCTATAATTTCATGCTTTAAGGCAGATCGGTTTGTATCAGACCATTTGCATGATGCTTTTAGCCAGTCCCAAGGACAAGGCATAATACCATTTACCAGAACAGATGTAAAAATTCTACTTTCAGTCACCAAGTCCTGCTAGCATAATAAACAAGAATGGACGTTTATACCCATCTCTAAATTAAAAGGCACAGAAACTGAAAAACCGAAACTAAGAAACTTTCTTCACCTCCTCCTCCTTTCCACCCACTCTTTGCTCTTGTTTGACATTCACCTCTTTCCAAATGTTGGCTGCCTTTAATTACTATCTAGCTGTAATTATGAAAATACATAATGAAAATATATTGTTCTAAGGCTGAACTTTGCAATATTAACCAAGGACACTGCTTCTGTCTCTTGGAGACAGACATCCAAGGTACTCAGAGCTTTGTGTGTTTCAGAGCTCATTACGTTTATTAAAGGCAACAGCTTCCATCCAGTGGCCTTTACTCACAGCAGTTTGTGACCTTGAAATGTTCAAATTAAATTTTCCCCCATTGAAATACAGAATGTTTTAGCAGATGGCAGTGATGTAACTCTAAGAGTCAGACAATAGTTAGTTAGTCACTACAGACGAAGGATGGAAGAATACCAATATAGCATCATTACCACACAGTCAAAGCTCAGCTGTATGCTTATTTGCTTACCTCCAGATTTCTTGTATTTTGCTCAGGACTAAGACATGATCAATTAAGATGGGAGTAGAATACATTCATTAACACCTCATTCACAAATATTGCAGGCATGAGTTTGTGATGGTTCTTAAGATTATTGTTTGGTGGTGGATATGTCTGAATTAAATTCCCCATATTCTGTTAGTCTTTTGTTATAAGAAAAACCCTACTGATTTCAAAATAACCATATTGCTTATTGTTTGTTTTTACAAGTCATGCATAATGTGCTACTTATTTCTCCTTTTTCATAGTGAACACTGAGCAACTGGGAAAAAGGAGTTTACACGGACATATTTTCTCCTTTATTTTGACAAACTGTACTATAATTGTATTGTCAAACAATTCCATCACCATGTCATCTTAAAAATTGTTAGCACGATATAAAATACCAACAGGAATGTTGGTATGTTACATTTACCAAAATGTAAAATGCAGACTAAGCTTAGTCTACTTAGAGAAACTATTTTTGAGTATTTCCCTGTTTCCTTCTTTACTTCTCCCTCATCCAGAGCTATCCAGCTCTTTCCATATACTTTAGTTGCAGTTAATAGGAAACAACTTTGCAAACCTCAAGGTCACTTCCTAAAAAAATAACTGTTTCTTACAATAGAAGCAGTTAGCATGAAGCACAGTCAAGTGAAGAGCCCTTCTCCAAAAAGCTCTAAGAACCTGCTAACCTAATACAGAGATACAGAATCACTATTTACCCTATTTATTCAAATTCACTGAAAAAAAAATACTTTCAATTTACATGTATTATTTGCCCTCTGCCTCTTTGTCAACAAAAGTGAAAATTAGTCTACGGTTCCTAATCCTCTTCTGGAAGAAGTGGTTCCACTTTACATTTAGAGATATAGCGTGACATCATTAATTTTTTTTTTCACTGCATAACAACCTATTATGAATTGCTTAGGTATTTGATATTAAATGCAGACCAAAAAGCTCTGTCAACCTTTATCAGTTGTTAAAGAGGACAACAGGTTATTTGGAATTGTGTCTTACACATTTTATGTACAATGTTGTATTTCTAAACCCAATATGGTGCTTCTGACTAACAAGCTTTTTCTATTTAAGAAATGCTTTTTGATATACAAATAATACATAGTTCTAGTGTGAGATGGTCTGTAAGGAAGCTCCCTCACAACCCAAGGCTTTCTGGAAGACTTTATTTGACCTTGAACTTTGCAAAATAGGACTACTGTAAAATTTAAACCATCCTTATCATAACCAGTATTCCTCTGCACATTTTACTATCCCAGATAGAGTAACTGAAACAAGAGGCATAAATTTATCTGAGGTCTGCCATATATTTTCTAGAAAAGACCTGTCCCAAGACAGACTGCTGTTCTTCATATGTTAGTGCTACAGATGCAGAAGACTAAAGACCCAGAAAGGGAGTGCTCACTCCTGCTAAGGGCCCCCAGGTCAGTCCTCAGTGTGATTAGTACTGTAAAGGAGAGGAACGTCTTTAAACCTCATTTTTGTTTCCTCAAGCCTGAGTTGCTGCTTCTTCCCTCAGAAAGTTGTTACTACCTAGCAGCAGCTCCGCTGTCTGCTTTCTGAGAGACTGTGCCCACCAGCAGATCCCCAGAATGGCAACTTTTTAGCTGCCTACCATTCTTGGCTTCTCTAGTCTTAAAGAGCCAAAAAAATGGATAAACAGGCACAATAACATTGATAACATTGTTTCTGATGAATCATTTGAGCAACTGATAGTGAAGAGTCTTGCCATACATTCTACAAGACGTGGATGCAAAGCGTAATGTATCGCTGTGGCGTCTCCTTTGTTCTTTTGGTTTGGTCAGAGTTCTTGAATACTTTCCAGGTTATTTTTCATGTAATTTGACTTAATTCTTGTAAATTCTTAGTTACACTTTTGCATTTACCTAATAAAGAACGCCTTCAGGCAGGTGTTCCCTGTTGAATATATACAGCCAATTAACATACAGTAAGCGTTGTACTATGCCTCCTTGGCAAGTGCAGAAATCTGTATTTCCAACCCCCCTCCAGTATTTTACTCATGTGGCTTTGAGAAATATAATTCCATTCTTATTTACTCTGATGAAAATCAAGTTTTACTTCACCAAATCCTGTAGAATAAAATGTGCTTAAATTGGATTAGAAACAAGACTCACAATTCATTAAATTAGAATTAAATTCAAGGTCCCATTGTCTAGCTAGGCTTGCCTCAAAGTACCTAGATCTTCTTTCATAGCATTCATATTGCTTTCAGAAAAACGTGAAACACATGGAGAAACCAGATGTAAAGTAACCCTATGTGACAGAAATAATATTTATTTCCATTTCTATTGAAGCTTTCATCTGAGAATCCTGAAGGACTTTTTGAATATTCATTCAGTCTCACTGTATTGGTAAGCTTCATTAGGTACATTTTACCCTGAAGCATAAAGAAATAAATGTCACAAACCAAGGACACAGTTCTGCTTTCCTTAAAATCAGTGGCAAATTTAATATTTTATTATTGGCAAATTTTAGAATTCACCTCAGGAATTCAGTTTCTCTAACCAGCTGACAACACTCCAAACCAAGTTGTGTTATAAACTCAGAGGGGTTTTTCCTGGTTTCTGCAGTAAGGCAATATTTTTGCTTACAGTTAACAGTAGATTTTGTTTGACTTGTGTAGAACAAATTTTGTGCTCTTCCCCGGTGCTAGGGTGTGGACTGAATTTACACAAGGCATTGTTGCTCAGGTTAGAAAAAGCACTATATCACAAAGAACAACAGAGCCATAATCCATTCACTACATCTGAGATTTAGTTAACCCACAGCTGAATTAGACTTGAATATTGAACAGAGATTAAATAACAAAATATGTTTTCTGCCTTTAATTTGTAGGACTAGAATTCATTGTGCTGATTAAGCTGGTAGGAACGTGTCCATGCACCTGGAAAAAGACAACTTTTGACCAGCATGTTCTGAGTACTTAGCAGTGAAGACTAGATTCTTGTTTTTTCTTATTTCAGGACAATACATCTTGCCTCAGTACAAAACCATCTTATACAGTGCAGATATTTTATAAATCCTTCTAGCAGCTTGTTTTCAAGTCTAGAGTTACAATCACAGAACACTTGGTGTTTGAAGGGGCCTCTGGACGTTATCTAGTCAACTTATGCTCAATGGTGTTCACGTTATAAGACTACTACAAACCAACATAGGAAAAATTTCCTTTTTACATATTAGAATTGAACAGAAAACATGATTCTACTTTTTTTTTTTCTTTTCTTTCTCCAGCAGCAAGGTGTGGCACTTTATACCCCATAGTATTACAGTGCTACACAAAAATCCAACCAATTGTACAATTTACCCAGAAACAGAATTTCATTAAAGCATGAAACCTTAATGGGACTTGATACCTTCCTATAGTGATAATTAGATCTACTATGGTCAAAATTGGACACTCTACTATGGTTCTATTTTGTTGCTGAAAATCGGCAGTCATTCCAAAAAAGTCAATGGACGTATGACAGTGTACGTTGGTAACAGATGAAACATGAGGGTCCATAAAGATTACTTCATCAGGGAAAGGACTTAGGTCCAAGTCTCCAGGCCCAAATCTCCAAAAGCATATACACACACCTAAATCGCACAGAAATTAGTGAAGACAGGGATCTTGGGGCTTTTGAACTTTTTTCAGCTCCTTTCTTCTGAAGCTTGTAGAGTACTAACACATACTTGAAATCCAAGTTTTTTACATGCAAAGTTATTTGAGCTAATGACAAATTCTCAAGGCAGAAGGATTAAAAAAAGACAGAAGAAACAAACAAAAATAACGAAAGAAGGACAGGGAATCACTCACGGTAGCTTGCTGCTTCTCTGCTTTCTCAGTTGCCTCATTAAGCTGCTTTTGAAAGGCCTCCTGAAGAGATTTCATTTCTTCCCTAGTTTTTTGAAAACACAGAACACAAACTTCATCACAAGTGTCCATAAAGAAATAATTCTTCAGATTCTAGAAAAGGCACCTTTAATTATTCATACTAACAGACAGATGTCCTGTGTCTATGAGTCTTGCTAATAAAATCATAATGATCCCATGAACTATAGTGCCAACGCAAGACAAAAATTATCTATGATGGAAATTGGCCACCTCTTACATCTACTGAGTAGCCTGCTGTGCGAAACATCTGCTAGTGTATAACTTCTAGCAAAAAGGACTGGCAACAAAAAAGTGAGGAAAGTGGGCTACTGAAAACATGCCAAAATGGAACCACACTATTATCAACAAGAACTAGTTTATATCTGCTTTAAAATAAATAAATAAATAATGCTCAATAAAATTCAAACTTCATCTGGTTCTTTCTGGAGACAGGCAACACAAAATTCAGTAGAAGATTCTGGGATACAACTGGACAAGAAAAAACCCAAGAGGATAATTTTTTGGATTGGGCTTTATTTGAATCAAAAAAACCCTTTGCATTACTGATGCAGTCAGAGAATTTCTTCAAATTGCGAGAATTATAGTGGGCTGAGATCCTCTGCTAGCCACCTCTTTCTAACCCACAGCATATGACACACTGTGGAGCTGTGCCTGTCCAATATCAGCTAATACATGATTTGTTTCAAAAGCTTCCTAAAATAGCATTCCCTGACCTTATTTTACTGTTACAATCAGCAGACTCTGGAATACAGACGGTAGTGTTTATAGATTAAAGTAAAAGAAAAGATGGAATTTTCTAGTCTGACAGCTTTCAGTCTGGAAAAGGAAAGAGAATGGAAGAGGTGGGTTCTTACCTTTGCTTTTGGCCCAGTTCCAGAAGTTTCTGCACATCATTTTTGGCTGATGCTTCATCATTTTTCAAAGACTGATTGCAAAGGAAAAAATCTATTACCAAAGAGATCTTTAATGTTATTCATCTGTGAAATGATTAATTTGGTCCTCTTTCATAAAATGCTCCTGGTGAATTACAGATATTACCACTTGTGAGAAGCAGAGGAATAGCCTGACTTTTCTTTTACCATAACTCAGCACAGCTAACTGTATACAGCTATTTTTCAAATATTAAATGAGAGCTGACCAAATAAGTAGATTTAGAAACAAACAAATGACTAAAAGCATTAGGATTGTATGATAAAGATAAGTGTGCGTATATACAGAAGATAATACTACAACATTTTGTCTATATCTGGATCTCTGCAGTGTTGAGTATAAAATAACTCATAATTTTGCTGAGTATTACCTTCAACTGTGCTGCATAAAAAAATCCCATTCTTAACTAACTTTGTTACAAGGAGAACATTTATCTAAAAAGAAGACAACACCTACAATAACAAAGAATGCTAAAGCACTCAAAAAAAAAAAAAAAAAAAGAGGAGAAAAGGTTCAACAGGCCACAGTTCACATTAATTAAAACTAGTTCACATTAGTTCGAACCAGAGAAGTCTGAAATATAACACAATATAATAATATAATACAGCACAGTATTGAGACACAATACCAGCATTCTCCTGTGAACAGACATAGGGAAGCTACTCCTTATATTTTTCCCATCGAGCTTACATCAACATGATGATAAAAATGCAATGTCAGGAAAATACCATCCTTTAAAATGGCATGACATACAGAGACAAATCTCAACTGATAATGAGTCTGAATATTTTTACCAGACCAACAGACTATATCTGGAAAAGGTTCCTAACTGAATATCTGGTGATTTTACCTCAAATCCAGAGAAGGACTTTTAATCTACGTTTTGCTCTGAGGAGCTAATTTGATTCCAGAGTTAATCTGACTATTGCCCTGTCAGCCTACCCATGATACCTAAAAGTTAAATACAGAGGTATCTCAGCTCTAGCCGCAGGCTTATCTAGCAAAATTTGTCAGCTAAACTTGTAAAGTAATGTCCTGTGGTAAATCCAGTCAGTCCATGTAGATGGCACGTCGGGTAGGTAAAGTGAGCAGCTAAACTAGGCTGAGTATATGTAACTCATCAGCAAGGATGCAACCTGCAACAGCAAAGGAAATTCTTTATAGTAGCTGCCAGGACAAATGTGCAGTAACTCCACGAAGACAGCTTATTCTTTTTCCTTCCCTTCCTTTTTTGTTCTACTATGCTCTATTTTCATATTTTCTTTAATTTTTTGAGGAAGTGGACAAAGGGCCCAACTCATTAGGACTGTGTTTTCCATAAAAACATCGGTTTTATGTTAAGTACAAGATTGACAAAATAATAATTATTCACGTATTTTAAAAAAACGTATTTTTTGTAATAGATATCAATATGAAAAAAATAAAGGTAATTAAACCTACAGAAACTGAGACACAACCTAACCTGGAGGTTTACTTTAATTCCCTCAAGTTCTTTAGAAGTCTTCGACAGTTGACGAAGGATATTGCTCCTTTCCTTAAAGACTTCTTTCAGCTGTCTTTCCAGTTCTTCATAGCCCTGTCTAACACAGAAAATAAAAGCATGAGATCTTCTCAAAACATTACTCAATGCATTTGAAAACAGTCTTAGTTCATCCAAATTGAATTAATTCCAACACTCTTTATAGATTCCAAATTGGAGTGTGTCCCCCATTCACCTATATTATAACTTGATTTCTCCTAACATAGATAAATAGATGTTTTATATGTCAAAATGATGTGCTGCATCTAAGTATGCAAATTATCAGACTGAAACACTGCAAATGGTGTATTGTCTGTGATGAGCAGGAGACAGAAAGGATGTATTTAACATGAGTGATGGTACATAGCATGAGATTTTTCTTGTGTTAAAAGATATTCCATGCAAGAAACCAAGCAAAACTTTGAAAGTATGAGGTTTTGTGACACCCAGTAATTTGAGGGAAGGATGATTCAGATCTATTTTAACTTTGTAAAATTTATTTCATTCCACAATTTCTCCTCACTTAAACATCCCTACAGTATAAACTAGAACTGACAGATATGCTAAGAGGAATCAAACCTAATTATGAATTAATGGGTAAGTCAAAATATTCTATCCTTTTCAAAATGGTAATTTTTACCCAGAATGTAACTATACATTTTAAAGTTTCTACAAAATCCCCAATGAAATAAATCCAATTCGTATTGGTTTAGGTTGAATGAAATACAGATCCAACTCTCATACCCCATTTAAAAAAAACCCAAACATTACAGTTAATTCTAAAACAACATACTTTTTCATTTATAATTGTCATTTTGAGGAAGACTGATCAGTGAATTGAAACATCCATTCCTTCTACAACTTAAGTTTAATTTTATTTTATTTTTTTCCTCCTTGCTATACCTCTGGTTCTAAGGAGGGGGAATAAAGAACCTCAACTCTGCAACACATCAATACTAACATCTTATTGGATTCAAGACCTTGAAGTTAAACAGGAATCTTAATGCTCTTTTAATGGATTTTGAATACACACTTCAGCAAAGAAACTCACTAAAGCAAATTAAATGTGCTATCTAATATCAGTCCTATCTATTTTAGCAACAGACAGCTCATGAAATATGCTAGACTTATGAAAAAAGAAAAATATTCTCTATTAAATGATACTTAGATACCTGGATACCTTAAATACCTTAGATACCTAGAAGAGATGAAAGTGAATAAAATGTCTCTTTCATCAACACAAGACTTTAGGCAAAGAATCTTAACATTATATTGAAGTTTCAGCGATAATTATATTCAGCTTTGACAGAACGTTGCAAATTAAAAAGCATAGAGTTCTTTGAGTTTGCATATCTAATGAAACACAAATGATCTCCAATTTCTGCTTGTTGCTGCAAAAAAAACCCAGCAACTTTTGGTCTGCAACAGAGCACCCAACACTTTCAGTGAAGATCTTCAGCACAATTGCTAGGTCGTCTGTTTCATTTTACAGTAGTTCTCTTTTAGAGGAGAGTTGAAAATGAAAAGAGGAGAGAGATTTCCCCCCCTTAATACCAAAAATATTTTCCCAGGATGGTAAAATAAAAACTACAGTCTTTCTAATGTGTTCCATAGCTGGTAGATAAAAAGCTCAGCTGTCAGTATTTTATTCCCTTTATAAATTTTGTTTTTTTCTTTAAATTTGTGGAGGAACTTCATTTTAAGAAGCTGTGTTTTCAGACCATTTCGATTATGTTCATCCACCAGGGGAAAAGAAAAACTGCAGATCTAGTGGGGGAACACGAACTGACTCTGAGAATGACTGGGTAAAGTCAGTGTAAGGAGGTAATGCCAGGACTCAGCTATGAGCACCTACTAGTCACCAAACAGCACTCATAAGTAATGGAGGCTTTGGTTCAAATTTTTCTGTCAAATTGAATGAAAGGACCTACTGTTATATGAATTAAATCTAGGCAGTGCTAGAATACCTGATAAATATTAGTATTCTGGTTGTTATATGCAATGTAAATAAAATCTCCTGCATTAAGTTTTATATAGAAAAACATATAGTTATTTTTTTACCACTCCAGCTATGGGTGATTATAAACAAGGTATACATCACTGTAAAAGAGCTGGCCCACCTCAGTGGGAGTAACAACGTTATGTGTAATCAGCCTAACAAGCTTCAGAGAATACTCCCATTTTAATTTGCTGAGGAACAGAGGTCAAGGAGGAATTTTCTCCTGCTAAAAGTAATCAGGTAGTTTCAGTAAGGTCAGCACTTCCATTCCTCTTTAAACATCACAAGAAGTGTGTTAGACTTATTGGTCTCTTTTGCCACTGAAATGTTGTGCTTTTGTTTAAAGTTAAACCCTGCATTTAAAAAAATGACCTGCAACACTGTCTTAACATCACTTTAAAGTAACATGCACACCCCTTCCAATTCCAGTTTATCTTCAGCATTTAAAGGCAATCTTGTCCCAAGTAGCCAATTATGCTTCCCCATGTGTATTCAGTTGGCACAGGTTTCACTCTGTTGTCTTGTAAATACTGATACATACCAATCTGCATAAACTAGAACATTTCCCAAATTTTAAAATTAAATTTAATATAAACCATACATGCACTTATATTTTCCTTCATATTATATTTTATGCCACGCTAGGCAGGCAGGAGGAGACAAAAAGCCAACAACTTACCACCGTGAGTCACAAAACAAACTCAATCCTCAGAACTGTTACAAGATAATTTTAAAAAAAGCAAAGAAGAATGAAGATACAAGACATACCTATCAGATCTATTAACTATTAGATCCTCAAAGGTTTTAAATTCTGGACAATATTATCTCTGACATCAAGCTTTGACTCTTAGCATTGTGTCCAAGAACAGTGCCAGTGTACTTGAAGACAGTAAAATTCGACTCTGCACCTGTGTGATAGCCAACAGACCCCCGGATCAGCCCATCTGCTTTGGTGACCTCGATTTCTACATTGTAAACTTGTGTCATTTAGACCAACGAAGTGCAATTCAAGTGAGAAAAGGTAAATCGGTAAATACAGTGGTCTAATCATGAATCACTTAGATTATTCAAGAGCTCTCATGTTCTCCCACAAAACTGAATATATCTTCATTTTTACACTTTAATATTAACAAAATTCTCAGGACTGGGTTTAAGGAAAGATCCACGGTCAATTGTTTTTCTTATTCTTCTCTTTGACCAAAATTTGTGAGACCCAAACATTTGATAAGCACTCTTTGGAAGGTTTCACACACATATATGCAATACAATTTTAAGCGTGGATAGATAGGCAATTCTAGAAGTAAAATCACTTTTCCACATCAGCATGGCCACACTCTGCAGCTGTGTCATTATATTAAAAGAACGGTGTTTTTTTTCTGAAGCTAATGTTAGATAAAATATTATTTCCAACATGACATAGTAATATTTCTTTCATCTGTGAAAACATATAAATCAAAACATATAATCACAAATACAGATTTTTGTCCTGATGAACATCAGCAAACTCCTCTGAATTTGATTAACTAAGAAGAAGATTATTTGTCTGATTAAGAAACAACTGCAAGACGTAAAGCAATTGGACCAGATATCAACAAGACTTAAACTGTGTAATTCCTCTGAATTCAGAGAAGATTTAAATTGAAAGAACACCTAATCTATATCTAGGAACCTGAACGAAACATACGGCTCTTCAAGAAGGATGGCATCACCCCTCACCACGTGGGAGAGAGGAAGAGAAGGAACTTTAGTAGGAAAACAGTGAAATGTTAAACGTAAAGACAAATTATGTGGATATAGAGGAGAGTGGATTCTTGCAGCCAGAAAAATAAGCTCTAAACTGAACAATTTGCTTATGCTGAACTTGGATGCCAGTTTTGTACTACAGTACAATTCTGGAAGAAGTTGACTCAGTGAATGCAATGTGTCACCAGTGTACCACCCT